GGGGGGGGGGGGGGGGGGGGGGGGGGGGGGGGGGGGGGGGGGGGGGGGGGGGGGGGGGGGGGGTGGAAGAAGGGGAACGATTTTGGAGACTAGACAAGGTAGGAAGCTGTAACTTTACAAGAATGTTCCAGTTCAAATGCGACTTAAAAAATTTAAATTCACCTTTTTGGTATACCCACATCTCGCGTACTCGCAAAACAAGGTTCAAATTGGAAAGAACTGAAAAACTACAGCTGCCAACTTAGCTCGGAGATTATAATTTCATGCGATTTTTGATGTTCACGTAGGAATTCGCAAGCTCAAAATGAGCTGGCAAGCACACCTATGTCTAACGTGCAAACATGTTAAACTTTCGCCTGCAAAATTGTTGGCACCAGAAAGCTAAAATTTGGTGAGGTCCCATAGTGCAACACAATCGGCTAAGCTGATGGCTTCCTTCCTTCCAGCACGAGAGAAAAGACTAACAATAGCACTACAATATGGGTGCGCATAATGACGAATTAATGCTCTTGCTGTTAACGTTCTTGTTGCTGCACAAAATCATACAAAAAAGCATGATTCGCAACTGCGACTGTTGTGCAAGTAGCTATTTTTATTGCTTCATATATAAAAGATTTTGGCGAGTTTAGAGTGCAAAATCCGTCCTTTTCGAACAGATGTGCAGCTATTCCTATAGTCAAAAGCCATTAAAGTTGACAGGTACACTAAGTGTCGTAATACGGCTTCGGCGCTTTACACTCCTTAACATCCTCGAAATCCTTGAAACTGGCTCAGTTTCCCCAGAATCTGCATTAATTTAGAAAGATGAGCATTATTCCAGAACAGATCTTAGAGGTGAGGGGCATAACTTAGGACCAGTCAAGGCTTAATAATTTCCTAAAACAGATTACCCGCTTCATTTCATTCGTTGATTTCACATAAAGAGAAGCAAGCGTGTGTATTAGCGAATGGTCGAGGGGAAGAATAGCCACAAATAAGCCCAACGCAGTTCGGATTGTCGCATCATTCCACTGCGCTGCCGGACCTTCTTTTTTGTAACAACAGATCTGCGGCGGAGGCGTTGGGCGCAAACAATACTCAATCGCACAAAATAAATAATCGCGAACATCTTCCCTGAAGATGATTCTGATGATACGCAATAAACTGCACATGGTAGCAGATAAAATCATTGCGCTACGTCAAAATGCTGGGTAACTGAGCCTAAAACCAAGACAAAATACTAAGCCATGTGGCGCCTGCACATACTGCACCGACGAATTACTTGTTCTGTCGTGCCGCGCAAGAAACTCAGCTACGATAAATAAAAAAATGAAAGCAACAGGACGAAAGAACTGACCTGACATAGTCAATCTGATACAATTCCTTTGCTGTTTCAATACTCTGTTTTCGAACTTCGGGCTGATCACTGTATGAGAAATCGAGAAGAATACACAACAGCTCATTCCGCTGCCTCGTACGAGTCAAAATTAATTCACGTAAAGTGGTCATTCCAAACGCACCAAACACCTAAGCAAGCAAAATGTTTTACTTTTTTGCATCGGCAAACACTAAGCTTTGTTTCAGCTTGTCCTACAGTTATAAAAATAGCCCGAGTAAGTGTAGCGTGAAGAACAAAATATTACTGAGATGCATCCATATGCCAAGTGCAGCTATGCAGTGCTCCTGCGTCTTCTACTGCACACATCTAACTTGTGCTCACCATTCTTACTAGCGCAACACTTAT